ATTATACTTGTTCAATTTTCTATATGTATTTGTATATCTTGGCTTTTTGTCTGAATTTTGATCTCTACCTGTTTCAGCTTCATTTAGTTGTCTTTTTCCCTTGTAACTATGCAAGTTATTTTTTTTATAAGAAAGTTGAACATTTGTATAATCTTTGCCTTTAAAGATATTTGAGGTTGATTACTATACAAGCTTAGTGTTATAATAGTATAAGCTTGTTTTTTGTACTTGAATACGATCTCTTCTGATTTAAAATAAATATGTGACTTTCCACTTTGGTTAACATTAGATTTATGAGATACTAATACTAGTACATTGCAAGATTTATTGAAAATATATTTTAGCATTTTTGCATTTTATAATTTACAAACTAATTTTTTACTCCAAAATCTTCTGCTCCATCCAGCTTTTCATACAAAGTAAAGCACAAGTAGTTTCAGGATAAAGATGATTACAAACCTTTGTAAGTATTTCTAATACTACAGAAAAGGCTTCTTTATAGAGAACACTAGTTTCTTAAATAGCCAGATAGTTATGGGCCATTTTTGCTAAAGTTGGAAAATGCTGTTCATTAAGTACTCACCAAGTGAGAGAATCAGTTTTAAAAGTTGAAGACGAAGATAAGTATAAATCTATTTCTTCTAGTGGTAGTTCATTTATTTGCTGTTGTTTTAACAAGAATACAAAAAATTCTCTTTTTTTATTTTTAAAGATGAATATACTAGTATTTGTAACTAATTTTTGTGACATATATTGAACTATTAAGTGATGTAGATGTTTAATAGCTGTATCTCTTTTTTTTATAGATAGAAATGTTGTAAATTTTGAAGAAGGATCAAAGATTGCAGCAACTGTAATTGATTCATCAAGAAGCAACCAATACTTATTTAGTTTATATTGTATGAAATCTGCGATTATGAATTCTTTATCCAAATATATTTCTTCAATAAATCTATTAAGATGTTTATGAATTCTCTCAAAGGATAAGCAGATATCAGATATCGTTGAATAAGAACTAGACAAAAGAAGTATAGTTGCATTATATATATAGTAAAGAAAGTCAATTATAATATTAATTGTTTTTTATTTATCCTTATTAAGAAAAATATTATCAAGCTAATGTTTGGTTACAAGAAGTTTGAGCTTAGCATGCATTACTTTAAATTGTTATAACATATCATAAGTATTGTTCCAACAAGTAATTATATCAAGTTTTGGTATAATATACTGTTTCTTATTAATTATACAAAAATTTTATAAATCATTATATAGAATAGTTGAATAATGAACCTTGCTAACAAAATTTTTAACCTTCTCAATTAGTTCTGTTTGAAGTTGCATTCCATGATTAACTGCAATATTAAGTACATATGCTTTGCACCTATAGTATTACAAATTGAAAATTAAAAAATCAATTAATTGATAAGTTAATAACTAATTGATTGAACTTTTAGATACTGACTAATTAATTAGTTGTATCTAATCAATTAAAGAGTTAATTGCTAACCAATTAAAAATTAATTAATTCTTTAATTATTTTTTAATCGATTAGCAATTATTTTTTAATCGATTAGATGTAACTAGTTTGTTAAATGAAAAATTAATTATTATATAACTAATCGATTAAAAAGATTTATAATACTACACACCTATAATATTTAAAATTAATTTCTTTCTATTTATTTTCCAACAAGCTTCTACATAGAACCATAGCTAAGTAATTATTTGTTATTAGTGCCAGAACTTTACCATTGATTTTCATATTATTACAGAGTTGAGTAAGTTTCTCTTTTGTATATATACTGGTATGATTGGATTCAAAATAAATAAAGTCAAGCAAAAACTATTTCATTTCCTACTTGTTATTTGATAAAACTAATTAGAATACAAAGTTTAAATATCTGCTGTAAGAAAAATTTTTATATCAAGATTATTGAGCTGTTCTGCAATAAGTATTTTTTGGTTTTAAAATTGAACCATAATTTTATCTTTTATATATATATGTGTAGGTAGAGTATGCTAAGAGTCAAAAATACTCATCATTTTATGAAACCAAGAGCTTTTAACTATTTTAAATAGAGCCTAATCCCCAATTATAAAATTTAGAATAGCATTGGTACATCCTTCTATATGCTGAGCATTATTATCTTTATTATATAGTTTTTGAACCAAATATTTATATTTTTTGTTTAAGATAATTCCACACTTATAATGTTTATTAAGATGCTTTGCTAATGTGCCTGTTGCTATTTTGATACTATATATATTATCACAATCTACAAAGTCACATACAATAATAACATTTTCATCTGAATCTTTATTCTTATACATGAAACTCCATACTAGTAATGTTTTGTTTTTAAAGCTATAGTTAGTTGTTTGGAGTAATGTAGATGCAGTATTTGTATGTTTAAAAGTTTTATCATTAATTGCATTTGAGTCAAGATCTGTGTTAGATGGATTAAATTCTTTATCTAAATCGGTCAAGTCCTCATTATATATTGTATAGTAATTTATTTTATTTTATTTATTTTTATTTATTTATTTTTTTTTTGTTGTATATTAATAAGTATTTATATATTTTTTTTTATAGTTATTTAACTCAATGATGACTACTTTATCTCTTTTTTTTTAATTTATTTATTTAATTCAGTTATTGAATCAATTGACACTTTTTTGAATATGAACGATCAAATCCTATATATAGATTATACAATAATTAATAATACTTATTACTACTTTACCTTTTTTTTTATTTATTTATTTAACTCAGTTATCTAGTTACATAATAACAATTTTGAATTAATTGATAATTCTTTGAACATGAATAAGCAATATTCTTTTTCTGATAAAACTCATCTTATATATAGATTATATAATAATTAATAATACTTATTACTACTTTATCTTTTTTTTTTTAATTATTTATTTAACTTAGTCATCTAGTTATATAATAACAACTTTGAATCAATCAATACTTCTTTGAACATGAATAATCAATATCTTTTTTCTGACAAAGCTTGTCCTATATATAGATTATACAATAATTATTGGCATTTATTTTGACAGAAAAAAATATATCCAATCCAAACTTAATTTTGCACTTAGTGCATAGTATATAAAAAAATCATTTCATAATGATAAATCACTTAACCACTAAAGTAAAAATACAATTCTTCACAATTTGAATCAGGTATATTTTCTTTTGTTACTTATTTTATTTGATAATTCCTTTGCACTTAGCTTATAAAGATATTATTGACTTGGTATAAAAAATCTTTAATAGTTAGATATTTCTTGATTTTTTAAAAAAACTACTTGTATGATTAATTTATATCAGAGTAGTTTTAAGAAATCAGGAAACATCTAACAATTGAGATATTTTTTTAATACAATGACTCAAATATGATATAAATAAAATGATTTGTATATAATAGCAAATAGGTATTTATGTTCTTTATTAGTGAGTTTTTAATTCAAATAACTAATAAATAATTTTCTACTTATATTCTAACTAACGAATGAAATGAATTGCAAAGTATTATGCTTCTAGCAAATTATATTGAGAAAGTTTTTTGAAAACATCTAAAAATAATATAATTAGCAAAAAATTATTGATTATTATTATAATTTGAAAAAGCCAGAGATATTATTTTAGTTGTTGTAGCTTGTGTGATTTGTGAAATTCATAGATTAAAAAAAAAAAACCCCCAAACTACTAATCTAAACCAAATCAATATAGACTTTGAAGTAAGAATTAAACCATTTAAAATTTTCTTAATCATATATAATACATATCACTAATTAGATTTTCACAAGCTGAATTTGATAAATAATAAATAATAAACTTGAAAGTCTAAAGGCTTATTTATTTTTGGTAGTGCTTAAATAGTTTTTATATATTTTGAGTTCATGCAATTTGCAAATTAATCTATACAATCATCTGATTGTTGTCTAATTGTGTAATTATAAACAATTATAAGAAGTATTTTTTTGTTAATAATCAATTTTAATATATTATATGTTTATAAAATTTGTCAAGCATGTAGGAATGTTAATTGGTCACACAGTAATTATTAGCCAACTTTGAGCAAAATTTATAAAAAATTAGCTTTTTTAACTGAGTATTTGTTCAATAAATAAAGTCATAAAAAAATAATTTTTCTGTTACATTTTTTAATAGAGGTTTATTAGTTTTTGTATTAGTTTTTGAGTAGTTTCGATAGAACTGATTAGGAACCAAACAGTATAGAGAAAATTTAGCTAATCAGTTCTATTTAAATTACACAAAAACTAATAAACCTCTATTAGAAAATGTAACAGAAAAACTATTTTCTATGACTTTATTTATTAGATGAATACTGGTTAAAAATGCTAATTTTTATAAATCTTGCTCAAAGTTAGCTGACAATTACTGTGAGACTAATTAATATCCCTACAAACATGTTTGCACTCCCTAAAAATCATTGTACAAGACAACAATCAGGTAAACAAGTAATTGTATCAGTGTGTGTTAATCTACAAATTTTATCAATTTGCAAACCAAAATAAACTATCTTTTTTTTATTTCAATATATTATTTATTCATTTATTTTATTTTTATTTCCAATTAGCTATCCTTCTATCTTATCTCATATTATATATTATATTATTTATTCAGCATTTTATTTATCAATACCACTGCTAGTCATTTTTATATGTGAAATCTTAATTTATCTTTCAAAAAATCAAGTCTTTATGTTATATTACAACCAAAATTTAGCAAATCGGCTAAAAGTTTAGAGTTGGAATACATTGAAGTTAAGCCAGCATTAAGCAATAATAATAACTAATTATATTATAGTATTTGAAAAATATTACTTAGTATATAAATTACTAGATTATTAGCAAAATTTATCAATTTTGATCTATCTTAAAATTTTGTTGATTTGCTAGATTTTGGTTGCATAACTACTTTATTCTAATTTATACCATACTGGTATTTGAATTACTTTAAATACAGATATTTGAATATATTTAACTACTAGTGTATTACTATTATATTAAAATCTATATATCTATATCTAGCAGCAATAATAGTTAAACTATTATTTATTATACTACTTGGAACTATTATGATATCACAATCATTATTAGTATGCTATATGGAGCTGTTATATCATAACTATTAACTATTAATTACTATTCCATATAAGCCCAATCTTAAAAAAAACATATAACTATTAACCATAGTTTAATAGTTTTTTAGAGGTTAGGAGTTTTGCAACATGAGGCCAATAATATATTAATTGTAAGAGAAATATAACCAATAACCTTTGGTTAACAGTTTTTAGAAGTTAGAAAGTTCTGAATATCTGTGTTTAAAAAGATAGAAGTTCTAGTTATATTTATATAATAAGTGTTAGTTCCTATATATATGTATATATGTATTATATAATTAATATATTTTAAACTATAGTTTAAGCCATAACTTAAGCTAATTTAAGCTATAGTTTAAACAATAATTTAAATTACAGCTTAACTAGTTTAAGCCATGATTTAACTAACTCAAGTTATAATTTAACTAGTTAAATTAAAGTTTAATTAGCTTAAGCCATGGCTTAAGCCAAAACTTAAATTAAGATTTATTTGGCTTAAACATAGTCTAGTTACAATTTTAGCTATATAAATAGTTGTAGTTTAAATTATAGCTATTAAGTTATAGTTTAGGCTTTAGCTATAAATCTACAAGCCAAGCCAAGCTATTTAAGCCAATTATATCCTTATTTCTAATAGATCTTTATTAGAAATAAACTATATTAAATATAAGTAGTTATATAATATTATCATGCTAAATCAGAAACAAACAACAACTCTAATACAGATTAGTTATATAAGTTATAGTTTTAAATTCAGATAAATAAATATCGAGTATAAATTAAACAACTACATAACTATATTAATATAAGACACAATAATTTAAAAGTTTCAAGATATATATAAGGCTATGCAAAGTTAATTTTTCATTTTGCATAACCCACTACCCAATTTTTCAAAAAAATTTTTTTTTTTTAAATTTTAATTGCTTCAATTATTCTATTTTTGCTATTTAATTTTTTCTATAAATTTATCCAGTATTATCTGATAGCGAACTTGATCTTTTGCAATAACCTAACAGGTAGTATTACAAATTGAAATCAAAAATTAATCAAAATCAAAAAGTTGACAACTAATCGATTAGAAAATTTATAGCAACTTATATTAAAATCAAATAAAAATCAAATAAAAATTGAATAAAAATCAAATAATCCAAAAGTTGACAATTAATTGATTGCAAAATTTTTGGCAATTTGTATTACTAC